AAWKGMMMWAMYTTCTCCTGTTCTTGGCTCTGGCACARTTCATCTTTCCACATYCCTTTCACTAACATCTGTTTTAAATTTACCAYAATTTTCTTTTAATTTGATCTCTGTTWGTAAACTCAYTCGTGATCTCAATTGTTGTGTCTTATTCTTCCCTGGTTATTGCCTATTTCAGGATCTTACGACGAARAAGACTAYTGGTAAAGGGCGTGAATYCAATGGCCTCTACACRTTTRATRCACAAATACCTACAGCCACTATTTGCACTCGAGTGCCAACTCCTTTCGAAGAACATTGTCGTTTGGGTCATCCATCTCTCTCCATGTTAAAGAGTCTTCGTCCTCAATTTCATAGCTTGCATTCTTTAGATTGTGMRTMATGTCAATTTKCTAAGTTTCATCGTCTTAGTTTGTATCCTAGAGTCAATAAACGAGCTACTATCTTTTTTGAATTAGTTCATTCTGATGTTTGGGGTCCGTGTCCTATTGAGTCCAAAAGTGGGTTTCGGTACTTTGTTACCTTTGTCGATGATTTTTCCCGTGTAACTTGGTTATATTTAATGAAACATCGTTCTGAGTTACTTTCTCATTTTCGTAACCTTCATGCTGAAATTCGAACTCAATTTGGTGGCTCTCTTAAAGTTCTACGAAGTGATAATGCTAAAGAATATTTTTCTGGAGCTCTTGGCTCTTATTTGAGTAAATATGATATTCTTCACCAATTCTCTTGTGTCGATACTCTGTCGGAGTTGCAGAAAGAAAAAATAGACATCTTCTCGAAACAGCAAGAACCTTAATGTTTCAAATGCATGTTCCAAAATATTTTTGGGCCGATGCTATTTCGACGGCTTGCTTCTTGATTAATCGCATACCTTCATCAGTTCTTAAGGATGAGATACCTTATCGTACTCTATGTCCTATGCAGCCTTTATTTCCTATTAAACCTAAAATATTTGGTTGCACTTGTTTTGTTCGTGATGTTCGCCCTCAGCTCACCAAATTGGACCCCAAGTCCTTGAAATGCATTTTCCTTGGTTATTCTCGTGTTCAAAAAGGGTATCGATGTTATTGTCCTGATCTCAATAGATATCTTGTCTGTCCCGATGTTACATTCTTTCAAAATACTCCTTTTTCATCATCTTTGAGTACCAGTCAGGGGGAGAGTTCACAAGAAGATGATGACTTTCTTGTATATTTCATTGTCTCTCCTTCCACTGAAGAGCTTCCTAGCAATACATCTTCCTATGTGCCTGATCCTTCTCTTCCCACCATTACTCAAGTTTATTCTCATCGGCAACCTCCTACGGACTCATGCCCTATACCAGTAGCTTCTTCGTCCGAGGATCCAGGAACAAGTGATGACCTTCCAATTGCTCTTAGAAAAGGTAAGCGTAAATGTACTTATCCTGTTTCTTCTTTTGTCTCATATAACCAT